CGTATAAAAAAAAATCATTAATAAATTGTGTAACGATCTACAAACTCGGGGCACTCGGGACGTTCCTACCTCGACGGATAAACGGATGACGGATAAACGGATGACGGATTTATCCGGATTGGAACTCTAAGTAAAAAAAAAACAAAAAATAAAGAGAAATAATGCGAACTTAAATATGATGCAGCCTTAATTTCTCTTAAAATAATCAACAAGTTAATTTTTATTTATTTCCAAATACAAAATTCTTAATATTTATTAAGAATGGATAAAATTCAAATACTGTATTTAAAAAATTCATAACTATAAACGTAAAGAACACGTGCAAGATATTCAACCTTTTTTTTCGTTCGTTACAATTAAATATGATAATTATTTGATCTAACTAATTCTAAGAATCAGGACTATGTAATTTAATGATTTTATTACAGAATTATGACATTTTTGAATTATTAATTTATTAAACTATATCTTTTTTATAGGTCTCTTGCGTTTGGTCCAAATCTGGTGAATTTATTTGTAAGTTGCTCGAATTATGAAGAAAATGCACATAAATTAGATTATAAAGATAAGTAACTCATAAAATAGTATTTTGAAATTCAAAGTAAAATTAATAAGAGAAAATAGTTTAAAAATCTAGGCTCCGGACTTCAACGGTTCCCGTTTCCTCGTAATTAGAAATGTTACGGGCATAGGAACCGTGAAATATATCAGATATTCAACGATTGCCGTCATGTATTACCACTGCTAATCCATGATATTCACAGCAGCCCGTGGAATATCGATATCTATTACAAATCATCTTCAGTACAATACACCATATATGTAAATTCGTAATACTACGTATAATGGTTCATTTAAACTAATATTACAATGGTTAAAAATTTATACGTATCTGGTATGTACTGTACGTACGTACGTACAGTACGTACTGGTTTTACTTCAGTAAAGAGCATCTTTTAATTCTATTGAATACTTTAATCTTAAAAATATTTGAACATGAAAAAAGGAGGGACATATATCATTTCATAGAAAATCATTTTACTTCATAGACAATCAATTCATTTTGAAGAAATTAATTTATTTTATAAATAATCTTTGTGAATATACAAATCTATTTTGGATAATTTGATTACAAAAAATCAAGTCGGTAATTGAATTATCCAAAAAAGACCAATAGATCAGGAGTTATTCGCTGTTAAAGATTGTCTATGAAATGAACTGTCTGTAAAATAAACTCTTCAAAATGAACTTGTCTATGAATTTATTGTCTAATACTTCAACCAGTTCTATGGGGTGGAAATGACAATTTCCTAAATTTGATTGGTTTCTTTTATTACTGTATATGTATCATGAGGATATGAAAGTAATAAATTTCCTTTATTGATCTTTATCGTTATATCAACATAAGCTAAACTAAATTGACTGTTTATGTGAAAGCTTTATATGAGAATTAATTGAAACTACGAACAAACTCTATATGCAAAAAAATTACATAAACCATTAAGGAAAAGACAGCAATAATGATATTATTGACTCATCAAATTGGGTACAATTATTGGAACAAAAATCGGTTTTAAACTTAGCATTTAAGCCACCTAAGCCATTTAAGCCATTTAAGGTATTTTGAACATTTTTCAAAACTTTGCCCATAAAGTAATCAGAGCCAGTTGTCGTAAGACTATACTTAGATACAACATCTGTAACAGTCTTTTTGATCTGATTAATGTAATCGCCTCCGGCTTTTGTACTGTTCTCTACATTCGCTTTTAAATCGCTAAAACATTTATCCTTATTTAAATCTAAAAAATGACATATTGAAGGTGGATTTCCACAAATGCGATCCATTTTAACACAATCTTCACGTGTCCAATTAACACCTAGAGGAGGCTGTGTAACAGTGTTATTACAATCACCCTTCATTTTTGGCTCCTCGTTGAAAATGGCATTTTTAATTATTCCAGCCATGCCTGAAATGAATGTTTTCGTAATACTTTCGATTTGATCAGAGACGGAATTGCGCACATCGGTAGTGAGATCTTTTTCAAGAGTGGAATTATCTGAAACTTTCTCGCTTGAAATACCATAGAATAAATGATCGAGAGTGTTGTTTTGGAAATCCCCGTAGATTGGTTTAACTTCGTCAGCCCAATTATCAGCGAAGGCTTTGGAAATACCATTTTGGCAATCTTTCTCGCATGAATTTACTTGCTCTACAATAAAAAGTACTGCGCATACGATTACAAAAATATCAACAATTCGAACAGGTTTCATTTTTGCAAGTAAGTAAAGGAAAGTAGGAAAAAGTGAGTAGGAAAGAGCAAGTGGGAAAGGAAAAGGGAAAGGGCCGAGAAAGGAGTGCTAGGTTCTATTGTTCTATAGTGTATCTAGGACTACTTAAGAGAAAAAAATCTTTAGTAGAGTGAAAAAAAAACGGTTGACATTTGGAAGTTCCAATTCCGATGCCTTTTTATTAACATTGATGATGAAACAGTGATATACGGTACACAAAGTATATGCGTGAATAATAATGATGATTTACCAATTCTCAACATTTATACGTATTTTTATTCGTTTTTCCTTGAGCTATTTATATTTAGATCGGCTAATCAGTCAAAGTCAGAAAGAAAACCTGGACAAAATTGCCAAGAAAATACAATTTTTTGAATGAGTGTTAAAGTTAGAGAGATAATCACTTGATATGAATCTTAAAATATTGTTTTCTTGTTTTCGCATTCTCTAGCTACTTCTTTGCTTTCTTTGTATTCCTGTTGTAAGCGGAAACGGAATTTAAGTGGACTTGAAATTTATATATAAAACCTCCGTTTTGGGTTGATTTTATTATAAGCACACCCTAACCCTAACCCTAATTTAACTAGGAATTCCAAATCCACTTACGTTCCATTCCCACTTACAACATCCCTACATGAATAAGCGTATGCGGGTCAATATACATTTTTATTTCATATTTTCTTTCATACTTTCATACACAGTTCATAAATAATTCTTAGTTAAATTATTAAATTATTACGATTTACAAATTACCGAAATAAACTTATTATGAACCCATATCGAGTAAGTGGTTGTCACTCGAACAAAATTAGGCACTCAGAAAATGTGTACCAGGTTTGGATCGGATGATCGTTCGGATGATAGACCGGATTATGGTCCGGAAATTAAGTCTTCGATTATTTTTTCTAACGATAAATAACGGTATAAAAATAGTATAAATAAATTTGAATTTTGACATTCTAAACATATAACTATTTATTTCTGTTTAATCATTTGACTTTGGTTTATTTCTTTTAACAATTTGGCTTTAGTTTATTTCTGTTTAACCATTTGATTTGTTTTTTTGTGACGTTCGTTCTTTATCGCTGTTTTCGAAATGGATGAAAATGACAAATAATTTTGTTGTTTAGAGAGCACATGAACACATATGAGCATATATAATTGTTCACTGAACAATCACGTAAATCGGGCATCGATCTTTAATCGATGTGCTAAGGTAATCAAGGTAATCATGGGTTTGTGTGTTCATATGTGTCCATGTGTTCGCCAAAAAAAAAAAAATTGTCATTTTCATCCATTTCGAAAACAGCGATAATAAATTATGTACGGTCGAATGAACTCAAAATTTGGAATTTCATAATACAGTCGTCCTCCCATAAAATCACACAGTTGGGCACATAGTAAATTTTTTTAAAGTGTGCTTATATAGGAGTTGTGCTTATATGGAGGTCTTTTTCTTATAAATTGAATCATAGTTTAGCCTAAACATAAATGTGATTACATATGGTGTGATTATATGGGAGGTGACTATATGGAGGGACGACTGTAGTTCAATATAAATATCGTGACTGTACCTTTTTGTGATTAATCTTTTATGTATTATACTTCATCTTAATTAATATTTTCGTTTTGTACAGTACACGAATTTTTTTTTAAATTGATGCGGCTGAACTCTAATTTTTGATCTACTCCGACCGTGATGAAGAATTTTGTTGAAATAGATAAGACACTAATTTGCCCATATAGGATAACTTTCTCGTGATTGGTCGTCACATGAAATTGAATAACACGTTATTATTGGCCAATTGTGAA